TATAAGATTAGTAACAATTATATTCATTTTACTTCTGTTTGCAAATAAACTACAAATGATAACAAAATTAAAACAATTATAATAAGTGTAAATAGTGGGTGAATGATAAGCAGGTAAAGAAGTAATATATATACTCACACACACATATAAACTATTATTAAATTATTAAAAATAATAATAAGAAAAAACAATATTTTTTTTATTACTTCAAAGATTACAAAGAATCCTTAAAAAAAAAAACAAAACTATATAGGTTATAAAAATTATTACAACTAATATATAGAACATGATAATCAGGTAAAGAAATAATATATATACGCGCACACATACATACAGTGTGTTGCAAAAAAAAAACAGAATTATATATTTGGTTATTATTATTGTCTGACCAATTATGATTTTTGTGTTTTATCATTCAAAATGGAAAGTTTCTATGCGGAAGGGTATCAATATCATCAATATGATGATGACGACAATGAATTAATAAACACTTCCGATACAAGATCCAATAGTTCATTGGCTTCAAATTCCAATGATTTAAGTGGTGGTTCCAGAAGACCTTTAAAAAACGAATCGTAACACATGGTTTTGTGTAAAGTATTTTGAAAAAGTGAAAGATTCAAAAATGGAGTCGACTAAAATGATCGACTAACACTAAATAATCGACTAAAACAGCCAACTAATGTTAAATGGTGCATGCTGTAACTAAACCAGACAAAGTGAATATTGGTATTACCAAGAATTTCAGGGATCATAATTGTTATATGATCAGTTTTATGATGTTTTCATTTGTTATTTTCTCTGTTTCCTTAAACCACTCCTACATAAAATTAGAGTAACGAATGTGAATTATAATTTACCACCACCACTATTATCTATTTAATTAATTAATTAACACAAGAAAATAATAAACCATTTGCCATGATCTCCTGTAAGTTGTGCCATTTTTTTGTTCTTTGCGACAAAGAAGATGCAACCCAAACCCAACTGTGTTTGTGTAATAGATGAAAAGCAAAAGCTCACATTGCGTTCTTGGTTGTAAGCTTGTTTACTAATAAAAAAAAATATATTTTGTCATTAATATGCAGTTTGGTTCCGATTTTTATTGTTAATTGAATACAAATAAACTTTTCATTATAAAAGCTGAACACAGACTTTTAATCCATTTTTAACTTAACATTGATTAGAATGGTGGTAGTGGTTGCATGAAATAAAAAAAACATTTTTTTTTTATAAAAGCAAAGAACGAATAAAAAATATAATGATAAATACCAAAAGATGAAAAAAATTGCATTCTCACAATATGGAAAGGTGCTGAGATTGAAAAAAGGAATACTGTTATTATTCATGTAGTGTTTTACAAGCCACAGTCCCTGTTGCTTTAGATTCAGTGAACTTAGTTAAAATAAGGAGATTGGTGAAAATATATGAATCTATGTGAATTACTGGAAAATTAATAGAATACGCAACAAAGAAGTATAAATCTCATAGGAGAATTATTCCTTATGTATAATTTTAATTAAAATTTCCAAAGTCACTTGTGATCGAAACTTTAAATTTTGGAACACACCATATTATATTTTACCGTAAATGTTTCCAAATTAATCTTTATTTTTTTATTTAAATAATCATGAATTGCTTTAATAAAAAAAACATTTATTTTTATTATTACCTTTTGTGAAACAATTAACAGTAAGGTGGGCTGCAACTTTTGATGATGGTTGCTACCACCTTTGCGTCATATAAATATGATTGAAACCGCCTTTACAACCATTTTGTTTCGTTTTTGGGTTGCAACATGGAACACTAGAGATGGCTGCTCAAATAGAAACAGAACTAGCTGGTCACTATGAAAGAAGAATTAATTTATACAGTTCTAGAACTGGAAGGGTGAAATCTAGGATCAATTTGTTGTTTTTGTCCTGGCTTGAATGTGTCTGTTTACCAAATCCGAACTCGTAATAAGGTAACCTATAGCATAGTTGAAAATGATTATGCATGTGGAAACTGCAAGGAAAAATTTGAAAATGATGAATTGTCCAAGTGTGAAGATTGTGGAAGACTAAAAAACTCAATTAAACATTAATGCTCTTAGTGGTAAATATATTGCTTTAGAAATAATGAATCAAAAGAAAAATCGCTTCCTGTTCTGTCACATGAGGAAAGGGCTTCTACTAGATACGAAAGACAAATAAATTCTTTACAAGAGAAATTAAATGAAGCAGAATGAACTATCCATGAAGAACAAGAAGCCCATGAGGATTTCATGAAAACCTCTGAGGAGTGAAATAAAAGACGGAAACAAGAGCTTTTGGATAGAATAAAGGAGTTAGAAACGGAAATTGAAAAACTAAAAGGTTTAACCAATCAAGAATTAATAAAAGAGATCAATGAGTTAAAAATTCAGCTAGCACAATTACAACAACAGAATGGTCAATTAACTGCTCAAATTGAAGTCAAAGAGACTAACTAAAAGATGATCTTGATTGAAAATAAAAAAGTAATTTAAAAAGAATTGAGGAAATGCTTTCCTCTTATAAATTGAAACTTATTCCAACTATCAAAGAAAATGATAGTTATTTTTTTTTTAAAGATTTTTGCTTTTTATTAGGTAATAATGCATCATGATGATGCTTTCTTTTTTTAACATTTATTATTTTTCTTTCTTCTTGGTAAATTTCATAAGTAATCCTTTCTTTCCTTAGATAAGCTTCCAGTGTTTGAGTGTCATTTATTTTGAAAATGTAAGGAGCAATTTTTTTACCTTGCTCCTTTTTCAAAATACTTCTAATGGTGCTGCAATTCTTTGGTTCCATGGTAGACCTAATGTAAATTAGCTTCATAGTGTTATTTTTATATATGGACAATTCTATATATCACTTAACAAATGACTAAATTTTGATCCCTGAAATTCTTGGTTCACTTGGTCTGGTTTTGTTGCAGTATGCCCCAAATTATCAACTAATAGTCTACTAAATAGTCTACTAAAGAAATTTTGAGCAACTAGTAGTCGACTAAGGATTTTTTTGGGCGATTCCAACCTCTAGGTCTTTCTAGTATCATCACAACGGATTCACGTGACATAAATTTATGAAATTTTACCAAAAATGGATACACAGTGAAACTCGATTTAACGGATAAGTTTGGCCCAAGAAATTTATCCGTTATATCGAAATATCCGTAAAAACGAGAAATTTGGAATTAGCGGATTTTATAATGAAAATCATGTGACATCAGTTAAATTTAAAAAAAATTAACAAATTTTACAATATATAAAATATGTAAATAATAAAATAATAATATATATAAACAACAAAAAAAAATTAAATTTATTTTATTCTAGCATATAGTATTCTTCAATTCTTGTTTGTACTCTTTCTTGAGAATTTTTG